CCCCAACAGACACCACTGCTGCTATAACCACTTCTTTTACAGATCTTTCCTTAGACAGCATGAGGTGATTTAACAGTCACACTCTCCAGCCCTCTGGAAAGCCTTGGGGAGAGTCAGAGCAGCAAGCACATTGTCAGCACCACTGACCTCATTTTTCTGAATGGAACCGGAGACGGAAAGGCAGCTCACAGGGTTCAAATAAATGCCATCATTCCTAAATGTCTCCTGCAGTCAGAGCAATATCTATCTTTATGTAGGCAGCCTGGAGTCAGTTTTACTGCCCCTCCCTCTCCATGTTCCGCATGCTATATTTTTTTTTCCTTCATAAGTAGCCTTTAGTACTCAGGGACAGTCTTGCTCTGTCTGTGGAAAAGCCTGTGCTGGCCCAGTGCTCTTGTCCACTGGTCTCTCTTTCTAAAGCTTCTGCCTGGTGATTCTCACTGGATTTCTGTCAAGCTGCATGCAATGACAGTACTGGTCTGGAGACTCCGGAGTCATATTAGTGTGGCACTGTGCCAGCACTAAAATTACTAAAATAACGGGCAGGACATTGTGCTAAATCAGCCAGAGAGCTTCCAGCACCGCTGGATTACCTCCAGCCCCTCCCAAGTGTGGCCACAGCAGGGCTATACCCATCTACATACAGGCATAGCCTTTTCTTGGCTCTTTTGGATATTTTTATTTTTTTTTCTGTCTGCCAAAGCTGGATGACAGGTTATATTTGGATTGCACCCAGTGTTGATGTGAATTGCTCATACAGTATCCCAGCTGCTCTGCTGGGAAGACAAAGCATGTAAAACTAATAAAGGCAACTAAAAGCAGTGATTACGTCAGTCCTAGGAATCCTACTACTTGTGGGGAATAAAGTCTAAGTAAATATTGATTTTTTTTTATAGTAAGATACTATTTAACAACCCATTATTATGTAAATAAGGTCTGAGTTTCCCTGATCCCCTAGGACAAAGAGACTGCTCTGTGGCCAAACAGATTAGCCTTTTCCATCTGTGCAATTATGAATCATAAAAGATACTTGTGCAATTTACTGGAAAGGAAATAAATATATATGAATCAGCTAAAGGGTGCAATAGTCTGCATCCAGACCTCTGCTCAGCCAGCATCACCTATTCAGCAAGGAAAGGCTATGCTGACACCCACTGACTGCAAAGTGCTTTGCTACATCAGGTCTTGGGCAGTTAAAGCACCACTTGGGGAAGTAAAATTTAACTGTGGACCAGGAAATTAGATTATCTCCTCTGAGAGAAGCACCATCAGAAGCATCCGTCAGCACCTGCCAACTCACGCATCTTTACTTCTGTTTGGTTTTGCAGACAAGAGCTCATACTCTGCTATTTCCTCTCATATGAATGTTGCCAGAGGCTTGAAAAGCCAAACTGCTGCCACACTTTGTACCTAATTTACTGGACTTCATTTGTGTTTCCTTCTGGAAGGTAACTGGCAAAGTGTCCTTTCTGGGGTTTATTCTGCGAGGCTCTAGATCACTCACGTTATTCTAAAACCTGTGCTTCTGGTTTTTTATCCACATACTTTTGGCTGTAGATCTCCTTTTATCTCTGCCTGACCTCTGGCCCTCCTTTGATGCTCCACACCAGCAGGCTGTTGTGCAACCAGCAGCGCCAGCTCCCGCTGCTCCCTCTCTCTGTATTCCTGCTTATTTGATGGCTTCTGGCAATCGTAGCTGCTGGTGACCCACACTGGCATAGCAGAGAGAGCAGCTGTGCCAAGCGTGGCAGCCAGCAGGTTTCAGTGATGCTAAAGGAATGGATTGCAGGGAACCTTTATTTGAATGGGAGATGCAGTTTCTACTTTTAAGTATGAAAAATATCAGGGTTTCTGTGGCTGTTTGGCTCATGCTTTTTCCAAGCTGCTCCTAACTGAGAATGGGAAGATATTCAATCAAGGTTAAATTCTTTCAGAAATTTAAAAAGGGCCAAGGCGACAGCAATTTAAAAAGTATGAGGATTGCACATGATGAAGAATGGTTGTTGTGATAATCTGAGATGGCCAGCCCATATATACAAATGCACTGTAATGGGTCTGACCTTTTCTGCTGCAAAGAGACAGCTCTTCATTTTTGTGTGTGTGAATCAGAATAAATGATGTCTGTGCCTTACGGTGCAAAAGTGCAGCCACATGACTCATGCAAATCACTGTTCTTGGAGGAGCACCCCCTGACTAGTTTTGTCTCTGCCAAATGGTTGTTACAGCAAAAATGACGAATATAATTTGTCACTACACAGACACTCTGGCTGCAACTACCCCGTCTATATTGGATTTTAGCGTGTGCTTTTCCACCCCAGAGAACAGTTGACCTGTGGTTAAGGCAAGGACGCTTCCATGATAGGCCTGCTCAGAAAAAAATAAAGCAGCTTGGAGTATTTCCTTCTCCAGTTCATGCACTATCATACAGAGGACAGTAGATGTGGAGAGCTAAAGCAGCCCTAGGACATGCCTGTTTATCTTCATCAAGTGTTCAGTCTGCTAATCTTACTTATTGTCCATTTTGGACAATAGGCTGAGCTGGTGAGGGTTTGGGGCAGATGATTTTTGTTTTGGATTGGCGTGGGATTGTATTGTTTAAAAAGCAACCACACACTGTCCTTTCCCTGAGACACTGAATTAAACTGTGGCTTGTTTCATACTGCAGGGTGGTTTGGTAAACGCTGTGCTAATTTGAGACCTTTTGATGCTGAGTCGAGGCTTTTGCTTTTATCTGAGAAACAAAACCATCTCCTCGGAGGATAAGCCTGATGATAATCAAGAGCACTGCACTGGCTTTCCAAGTAGGAAATTTGGAGCGCTTGGGGAGATGATGTGAAGACTTTTTTTTTTTTTTTTAACCTCTAATTCACTGCTTACAAATCTCAGCTAGAAGGATGGAATCAACATCTGCCACCAGCAATCTTTAAAGCAGCGGGTTGCACAGCATCAACCTGCATCTGCAGCGGGTGCAACTCTGGGACCCTGTTATGCAGATGTTAAATAAAGGTGAAGGGCTCATTTACTGACTCAGAGGAAGTGAAGGAAAGATGCCACTGTGATTGTGGAGCAAAGCCGAGCATGTGTCTAAGTGTTTGACATGTGGGGCCTAAGTAACATCACACTGGCAGTCAAAAAGTTTCTTTTATTGGTATTTCCAGCACAGTGCAAGAGGAGAGGGAAAAGACAGAACGAAATTGAACACTTCAGTGAGTGCCTTAGGCAGGTCACTTGTGCCAGGGCAGGTGGTACTTCACAGTGGACAAACAGTTATACAGATAAATTTAAACCTGCATGAGGTAACTGTTAGCAGCTATTCAGTCTTGGATGAAATAAACAGCATAAGGTTTTCTGCACTGAGGAGGTGGTCATGATGAAGAAATGCACCAGCAGCTGGAAGCGTGCATAGCATGCATTTATATAAATAACTGAGCTTTGAAATACATACAGTTGCTGAAATGCACTGTGTATATTATTTCTTTTTTAAAGAAGTACCACCAAATTTTTGTTTCAGATTTCCGGTGACCTGGTGTGTGATTTGTTAACATTTGCTGTTTGGCACCAGAAATATATTCGTGTTACATCTGGCAGGCAACCGATAGCGCTGCAGTGAAGCCCCTGTGCACACCTGCCCAAGCCAGGGGGCTGCCTGCCTGGGGATCCTACTGGTGATGCCAGAGGGGTCAGGACACCACTCTGGAGCACCCGGAGTGGCAGAGGCTGCCGGGGTGACTGGTGGGTCAGCGGGAATGGCAGGCACAAGGGAGCAGGCTGGGAGTGAGCTGGGGCCTCGTAGGAGGCCAAGGGCAGCAGTTCACAGAATGGGTCAGGTTGGAAGGATCCACAGTGGGTCACCTGGTCCAGCCTCCCCACTCCAGCACCGTCATCCCAGAGCACACGGCATAGGATTGTGTCCAGACGGTTCTGGAATATCTCCAGTGAGGGAGACTCCACACCCTTTCTGGGCAAACTGTTCCAGTGCTTGGTCACTGCACAAGGAAGTTCTTCCTCACACTCAGGTGGAACTTCCTGGGCATCAGATTGTGCCCGTTGGCTCCAGTGCTGTTGCCTGGCATCACCAAGAAGAGCCGGATCCATCCTCTTAGCACACTCCCTTCAGGTATTTATACACATTGAAGAGGTCCCCTAACAGCCCTCTCTGCTCGAGGCTGAACAGGCCCAGCTCCCTCAGCCTTTATTCATGAGAGATGCACCAGTCCCTTCATCATCTTCGCCTTCCTCTGAACCCCCTCCAGGAGCTCCATGTCTGAGGAGCGCAGAACTGTACGCGGCACCCCAGATGCGCCTCGCCAGGGCTGTGTAACGGGTCAGCACGACCCGCTGGGAGCTGCTATTCCTCATGCAAAGGGTTCCCCCCGCAGGCTCCTCCTTCTCCTCCTCCTCCTCGGTGCGGCGGGGAGGAGGGGCCGAGCCCGGCCGGTCCCGCCGCGCAGCTCCGGTGGCGGGCGGCGATCCGCAGCCGCGCCCGGCCCGGCACAGCCCGGCCCGGCTCGGCTCGGCTCGGCAGGAGACGGGGGGACTCAGGGAGCTGCCGCTGGCCGGGATCAGCAGCCCCGGGTAGGCTGGGCGGGCGGGGTTGGCCGTGCACCTGCTGTGCCCGCGGCGGGGGCGGCTCCAGAGCCGCGGGGCCGCTCGGGAGCGCTGCGGGACCGGGCGGGGGTGCCCGGGGTGCGCTGCGGGACCGGGCGGGGGTGTCCGGCCTTGGCTCTCCGTCCCTGTGCGCTGCCCAGACCTGCCCGTGGGTTGGGCTCGGCTCCCGCTGTTGGCGCTGCCCTTGGGCCCCGGGGCGGCTCCGGGGGTGGTGGGTCCTGCAGGGTGCCGGGGCCCCAACCCGGGGTGTGCTCACCGGGGCTGTGCCCCTCTGTGGCTAAGCCAGCATGAACCGTTGGGTTTTTTTTTTGTTGGGTTTGTTTGGGTTTTTGGGGGTTTTTTTGGTTGTTTTTTCTTTTTTTTTCTGTATTAAATAGAAGAATCGTGAGCATTTAATGCCCCAGGGTGGAGGGTTTGTCAGGTTCTGGCTCAGGTGCGGAGCTGCTCGGTGTCAGGCACGCCGTGCGTTTGACCTGCGAGCGAGCGAAGGCGTTTTGAAGCCCTTGAGGACACCCCGAGGAGGGTTTGGTTACCCGCTGTTTGCAGACACCGAATTAATCTCTGCCCTCTGGGGAGCTGTGCGTGGCCAGGCACGACCTTCCCTCTGCCTCTCCGGCACAGCTGATCCCGGGTTTACCGTGTTTGCAGAGGGAAGGGCCGGTCACCGATGACTCTTTTCCTGAAACAGGGAGGAATGTTTCACCCAGTGGGAAGCCTGAAGGAGCAGTGCCGATTTTGGAAGGTAAATATGGTTTCAAACTAAGTGCGAGAATATTGCTCTAAACATTTCAGTACAGCAAGGAGGAAGTGAAGTGTTTGTTTTGCTGTCGGCTGAAATAGTTGCAGAAAATGAAAGAAAAGCCGTTTTCAGTGATTAAATTCGAGTTTGTCCTTGAGCTTCATTAGTAAACCAGAAGCACAAAGGATGTATTGGCAAACTAACAGTTATGTGTTGTAGCCTATTAATGTAATTTTTGAAGTATAGCTTGGCTTTTAAAATCTAGTTTTATCTGCGGCAGGACTGTTTTCACAAGCTTTATTGCCACAGATTCCTTTGCTTTTGTGGAGGACGTTCTATTTTTTTATTAAAAAGCACCTGAACGTCAGAGGAACTTAAGGATACGTGGAGACAGAGATAAGTTGTTGACAAGTAAATGGGAAGTCAGCTGTTTCTGCCTGCAGTACATAAAATGGAATCAGCCTCGGTCAAATAGGGTGCAGTTCTCTCTGTGCTCCTGATAGTCCAGTCACCTTTGCTGGGAAATGACTGGGATCCTTGTGATGGGATTTACTGTTGGGAGGTGGTGTGAGTACCATCTGTGCAGCAGGTGCACAGATGTGCAACCTTGTGTGACCACTTAGAACTGAAACCTTCTGTAAGCTCTGTAAAGTCTTTTCCTGCCTAAGCTAAAGCTGTTAAATAGTAGCTTGCTAAACAAGTGCTTTGCGAAGATGGCAATTGCCTTGTCCCATTATGTTTTAAAAGAGCCATTGTAGAGGGGTTGGACCTCGAGTTTTTGTTCTCTGATGGCTTCTCAGTTTTTTCCAAGAAGATATTTCTCTCACCTTGCTTAGTGTGGTCAGTTAAGTAATAGTTTTGGTGTTTGGGGATAACTGTGAGAGAGGAGAAATGGGGGTTTGGGATCACCCTGAAATAGATTTGTTGCTCCTGGAAGAAGAATGCCCTCCAGCTGGGGGCTGCTTGTGCCAACCTATTTTTCTTCTTACCTTTCTTCTCCTATTGGACCTATCAGCCAAACAGAGATTACTGACAAGTTTTTGTTCTGAAACTGAATTTATCTGGCCTAACCAGCCAGCTATGTTTGTAGTGGGCAATCCCACCTTTGGTCCCTGCCTTTATGCTCCTGCTGCATTGGATTAATCCTAAGTAGCAGTTTTATGATCACAGAGTGAGTTAATATTCTCTATTGGATCAGCTGCATTTCGGGGCAGGTTTTCTGATGGATCAGCCGTCTGACCCATGGCTGTACAATTGCAGGGTCTGGCACAGAGGGAAGCAGGGACCTGCAGTCTGGGAGTGGAAGAGGGGAGGAGGGTGTAGGGTTGCACTTTCCCTAACCTCTGCAACCTCAAAGAGGAGGTAGGAAACCCGTGTTGGGTGGGAATGATTACAGGGTTTAATTAATTGCACAGCTGATTCAGGGCTGGAGAGGTGTGTGGAAGGGTGAAACATGCCAAACGGGATTAGCAAGTGAGTTCACTTCCAGGGGAGGGAGGTGTCAAACTGAACCGGGATACTGGAAAAAATCAAACTATGGCAAAAATGTGTTAGCGTAAAGGAGCAGCCCCCTGATATTTTGGTGGGATACTCTGTTATGTAAAGAAGTGTGTTTTCCTCTATTCCTGGGGAGAAAGTCAGTGTGGGTAGTGAAGCTTTCAAGTTGCCAGCTTAGACACAGCAGATCCTGTTTGGTGTTGTCATTCATCTGGCTGAGGGTTAGTTTTGATTTCTGTAATAAGATGGGGCAATGAGGATGAGAGAAGAGAGTCTCACACCTGTGGCAGCTTCTAAAACTCTCCTGTTAAGACCAACCCTTGGTCTTGGGCAAGTGTGTTTTCTTGTTCGGCAGGTGTGTTTTCTTTTGTTTACCAGGAGAGCTGATCCTATATCCTACCAGCTTCCCATCAGTGGCTTTTGCTGGCATTAAACCCACGAGCAGGGCTACCAGGAGGGTGGTAGGGTTTATGTTGCAGGCCCTGGTGTGTTAACTTGACATCCTGCTGGGGTGGCTCTGCTGTGAGCTTACAGGGAGGGTTTTCATGCCTGAGTTGCAGTCACACCTTTTGCCTACAATGCCTTTTGTCATCCTACTCAAGAGCTGGCCAACTTGCTGCCAACAGTGCAACTGCTCCCTGGTGCAGTACCTGCAGTAAAGATATTGTGCAGGTTTTTTTTTTCCTGTTGAGGGACTTCAGCCCATGTTTGAACAAACAGGAGAAACTCTGAAACTTTAAACCAAACTGAATTGATGCTGCCACTCTCTTGCTCTTCCCTGCCTTGTTACGGACACGTGAGATCCTGCCCTCTCCCTTGTGCTGGTGCCGGGAGCTCAAGTGGTGAAAAAACTTGTTTATTTTCTTTTCCAAGTCTTCTGACGATGTGGTGCCTTGTGCAGCACTGCCCCTGGGACAGGGAAATGGGGTGGAAGAGGCAGTGCTGGTCAAGTCTTGCTGGCAGCATTGTTCAGCATCACCCACTCTCAAGCTGGAGGAGTCTCTGTTCCCGGCTGGAAACACTACAGCCATTTTTGAGCTAATTGCAAGCTCATGAATGTTTCTGATGTGCCTAAACAGATCTTTGTGAGCTGGGGAATTGTCTACTTGTAGCCATTCTGGGACAAAAGCAGAGTGTTTTGATGTCAGCTGGCTTTGGATCAAGCTCTGAGTGCATCTTTGCTTTGTGTCTCCGCTGCTTTGTACTATGGCGAGTTCTCAGAATGCATTATAAATGATAAAATCCCAGAAAGGCTGCCTTTTATATCAGCTTAAAATTCTCCATTACGTTTTTGATGGCTGGAAGGTTAGTTATGGTAATTACTTGCCTCTGAAGTAGATAATTGCCGATTCAAATGTTATGGTTAGAAAATATTACAGAACCTCGATCAGACTGTTTACTTATCAGCTTCTCTTATCTGAAGATCAGCAGTTAACAAAGGTGGAGTGAAGAATTTGCCACGTGGAGACTGAAGGTATATGAGAATAAAAACCTACAGGGGAGATCAGCGCAGCAGATATTACACATTTTTTTTTACCTGCCATCCCACGGCTTCAAGAGGATCTCTTTGTTACACGTTCAGAAGAAAACACTGTCACAAGTCCGTAGTTGTGTCACCTACAGTTTGGTACCAGCTGTAGTGTAGATGGCTCAGCTTCCTCCTGGGATTCGTTTCATCACTTCATTTTCACGAGATCAGTGGTAAGTCTTGAAGTGTGGTGGTGATCTTGGTGGGCAGTGTGAGTTTGTATCTGGGAAGATCACACTCCTCTATTATTTGCTTTTTCGTTGCTTAGTATAGAAAGGAAGAAAATATAGCCAGTTGTCTAATCACTTTTGATGACATTTAAAAAGTAAGGTGCTTTGTTGGGAAACCCAAACAAACCCTTACTAGCCTTTTGCCCTTTTCTTTGCAAGGTATTTAAAGGATGAATTTCAATTTTTTATTTTTAAGCTCTTAGATAGGAAGAGTGGCTCAAGGTAAGCTGTCTTTTCTTAACCAGAAGTGTATTTTCTCCCCAGTAATTTGATGTTTAATGTAGACTTGTACAATTACAGTCTTAGTTCTTGCTGCTGTAATATTAAAAAAAACCAAACCCAGAAATAGACAAAACCAAACAAAACCAAAAAACTAAAACAAACAGAAAGTTAAAAAAACAAAAACAAAAAGCAGCGAAAAACCAACCAACCAACCA